AACTAAGAACCGTGGTCCTGAACATTAGCCCAAACCTTAGGCCCTAAACCCTAAACCCGACCCCTAAATCCTAAAATCTAAACCCAAAACCTTTAAACCCTAAACCCTAAAACCCTAAACTCTTAAACCCTAAACCCTTAAACCCTAAACCCTAAACCCTAAGCCCCCAACATCCCCCCTGAGCCCTAAACCCTTAAAGCAGGTGAGGGCCGGCGGCATGCGGCAGCGGCGCTCCAAGCGTTGCTCAGTGCCGCCACCGCGGGGCCAGACGCTTCCTTGCGACTTACAACCCTAAGCCAGGCCCTAAGGGTTTAGGGATTAGGGTTTAGGGTTTAGGGTTTAGGGTTTAAGCCCCATAGAAGCTCCCAGAACCCGTCTTTCAATTCAACCTCAAAAGAAACCAAAAATCCACCGACGGACACCTCCAAAGCCCCACGAATCCTAGACCGCTTTGGGAAGGTTGATTCTAAAGCCGCTTTCGCCCGAGGCTCGAACAAAAATGTCCAAACCATCTAAGCCCGTATTGGACCCAGAGACTCCAAAACCCCTTAATAAAGGGGCTTACGTAGTTACCAATACTATTTGGGGGGCTCCTTTATTATAATCATAGCATAATATACCCCAAAACTGCATTCTAGTTATTACGCCCCTTATATTCATTAAAGAATCTTCCTTAACTTACAATAGGAACCCGAATATGAGTTAAGGTCTATTCCTTCATTGAGAGGGTTTTGGATCTGGGGTCCCCTGAACAAAGCCCCCCACATCCCCCGCTAAACCCTAAACCCTAAACCCTAAACCCTATAAGCCCAACATCCCCCCAGAAAAAGGATCCGCTTCTCCTCTTAGAGCCGATCTCCGCCCCGTGGCGCCTCCTGCTGCAAGCTTCTCGGGCCTACTTGGAGGGTTTAGGGTTTCGGGTTTAGGGGTTAGGGTTTAGGGATTTTGGGCGGGGGTATTGCGGTGCTTCTTAAGGTTCTACAACGGTTCTTTCAGATTCTTCCTGGGTCTTTACGTGGTGTTTCAGGGTTTTTGCAGGGCTTTACGCCTTGCGCAGGGCGATGTTTGTGTCCCCCGACCTCCTTGAACCTCGAAAAAGTCCACCTCCTCCGCCCAACACCAACAATCTCGGGATCTGAAGAGCTCCGAAACCCTAAACCCTAAAC